CCCCACCCCCCCGCCATCGAGACAGCTAGGCTGTGGCTGTCTCCAGCTACCGTATTCTCCAGGGACCATATTTTCGGCGATGTGAATCCTGTCAAAGCGAGCATCCCGCTCGCTGCGTGGTGTTTCATGACCGGCTTTACGTGCGTACATACGTCTGTGCTCTCATGCTGTTTTGTCTGACTTTAAGGGACACGCATCAGTGACGCGGTCATGTTCACTGCGGTTTACATATGGGCAGGTTTCCAGACGGGGAACACGACGCAGGTGGGATCTCTACCGGCCCGCTGTATTCGATCATGCTCACCACTCGGATTAGCTTTCTCTAGCTGTTGCCAGACTCTTCGCCGGGCCAAAGGGCCACCACGATCTCACCTTCCAAATCTCTGATAAACAGGCTCTCACATCGCTCATGACCTTCAACGGCGGCGCATTCATCGGGCGTCTCGGCGACAAGATGGGGCCCATGTCCCGAGCTTGGCTGTTCCTTGGTTCCATGATCCAGGCGCTCTTTACGATGGCGGCAGCCATCGCCGTGTGGAAGAGCGGGGAACCGAGCGTAGCGAGCGACCGATTCAACCCAGCATGGACGAGCGCACTGACATTCGTTGCGATCGGATTCATGAGCGCCAGTGTCGGGCTCCAGGGCATCATGGGAAAGCGGGTGAACACGCAATTTTCGACGACAGGTGCGTTGTTGCGGTGTTTGAATCATCAGGAAAATGACTGATTGCTGTCGCTGCAGTCGTAATGACAACCGTATGGTGCGAGTTGATGGCGGACCCGAACCTCTTCAGGCTCAACCGCTACATCATCTCTCGGGACCACAAAGTCATCGGTATATTGTGCCTCTTCGTTGGTGGCTTCGCCGGACGCGCCCTCATCGACCAGATCGGGTCTGCTGGTACGCTAGGTATCGGCACAGGCATCCGGGTCATCATCTCCATCTGGTGGCTGTTTGTACCAGGGAAGGTGAACGCAAAGAAAGTGAAGGGGCCCGAGACGGCGTAGGTCGTCGATTGATACTGCCTCTTTTTGCGCGTACCTTGCTGCGCATGCGGCAGAGAATCGTCCATACCAGGTAGCGGATGCTGCCAGAGATCAACATTAGAGCTGCTCGTAATGTCGCCTTCCGAGAAGGGGCGAAGTGCGTGTCCTAGAAGGGCGAGGTATAGAGAGCATTTTTAGGAGGGCGTTCTGGACAAGTTCCATTGGTGGGCCCGTTTGCGCCGTCTTTTACTTACAATAGTTTACTCCAGTCCATGTTCTGTCATAGCTTGTTCGTTGCATCTCGCACTGTTCTGATACTCGGGTTCCTCAATCATATTGTATTGACTAGATTTTCTTGAACATGCACATGACAGTCTGATTTCACTACACATGGTTGTAAGTAGCTCATCTGCAAGCTCACTCTTGAATCGTAGAAATGGAATGTAGTGAGATAGCGTAGCCAAAACCACACCGGACTCCCGATGTGTATGTAATTGATTAATCGTTACAAGCAGGCCGGACACGCAGCGAAACACCGAAAAGATGCAGCTATAGATCCTTGTCCAAATAGCAACGACTTCGTATATTATAGCCATCACATCATAGACAACGATATACAACATTTACTTTAAGGACTCCAAAGCATGTCTGCACGGGTATTTGAAGAACTAAGCGATGGGGAACACCAAAGATGTAACACTTCTGGTAAGGAAAAGCACGCCATGGCCGATATCGACAACACTGCGGATAACGTGCGCTCCAGCTGAAGGGTATGAGACGTCGCTCTGGGACAAGCGGTAGACTCCTGCAAGAAGAGAAGATATGTTGCAGGGGGACAATAGTGCGAGTCCGGGAAATGAGTGAGGAAAAAATACGGACCAGCGAGGAAATTTATGCAACTTGTGCGTCACGTGTTCATGTTGTTGTGTGTAGGTCCGTTGACTACCGAATGCGGTCCTGGACATTCTGCAGAACGGTCACCATTGTCCTGCTTTGGCAACCGTCGAGAGCATTCAAATATTCAACGTGCAACGTTCAGTGCTGACCATTGAAGTTTGACGCTATGTTCTACGCAGATAGCAAGATCACGAAATCATAACGTAACACGAAGGTAATCTGTTACTTCTCAAGATTTATGGTACCGAAAGATTTTGGACCAGGGAAGCACACTGCGTCGATCTATGCCATGAGAAACTAGAACGCTGCCGTAAATGGTAGAATTTTGGTTCCACCCGACCATCATGGATGGGCTCCCACAGAGCCCGGCTCCTTCTGGGCATGGACCAGCTGATCGTCTACCACGGCCAGCCGGAATTCGTGCAGCCCATGAATATCAGCAGCGAATATCGTGCACTCGCTAGGAATGTCCGTTCGCAGGCATATGTCCGCTGTACATAATCGTGCTGACTCTGCCAGAATGCGCGGAGTGGTTGTTTCGTATATATTCTTCGCTGTTGTGGCTACCCTGGGGATACAGACACACTGACGATGGCTCCCGCTCAAGCAATCTTTAGCCATGACTTCGACACGCCCTTCTATAAGGGTACTGCGCGCGTTCATACTGGCTTGTTCATCAATAACGAATGGGTCCAGCCCGTGCAAGGTGGAACAATCGAGTTTGTGAATCTAGCTGATACAACGTTCTGAAATACTGACGAGGTTGACGTCGCTCATGTCAGTATCGTCAATCCAGGTATTGCGCTCTTCAGTGTTTTGTATGACTGGCTGACTATTGTTCTACTCAGCGAACGCCAAGATACTAACACAAGTGTCGATCGGAACGTCAGAAGATGTCGATATCGCCGTTGCTGCTGCACAGGCCGCCTTCAAGTCCGCATGGGGACTCAACGTTCCCGGGGCACAGCGAGGGGACCTCCTTAATAAACTGGCCGAATTGGTCGAGCAGAACCTGGACGAGTTGACTGCTCTTGAATGCGCCAATACTGGTAGCGATGTTCTCTATCTCAACTTTGCTTGATCGTGAATCCTGATTGTGGGCGATCTGAAGGCATACCCCTTGCGTTCCTGAGGACTGTCTTGATTCCGCGTATCGTCGGTGATCTTCGTTATTTTGCGGGATGGGCGGGTAAAGTCGCTGGGAAGACTATTGAGGTACGTGACTTCGCGTCGTGCAAGTGGAGGTCTTCTAACGAATAGCTCTTTAGACGAATCCAGCCAAATTTGCATACACGCTCCGGCAGCCCATAGGTGTCGTGGTAAGTGCGGGAGTCACCGCTGACAGCTCTGTATTCAGTTCTGAGCTCATCTGATCATTTAGGCGCAAATAATCCCATGGAACGCTCCACGTAAGTCGGACATGTGACATCCACACTCGCACGAGTTCACCTGTAATGCAGTTGCGTTCATGACCCTGAAAATTGCGCCCGCACTCGCTTGCGGATGTTCGATCGTCCTGAAGCCTTCGGAGATCACGCCTCTCACGGCACTCCGCATGTGCGATCTCATCAAATCGGCGGGCTTCCCCCCTGGTGTCGTCAACATTGTAGTTGGCTACGGAACCACCGTTGGGCGAGCTCTGAGCAGTCACCTGGACGTTCGGAAAGTATCCTTTATTGGTAGCGTTGCAGTCGGAAAGGAAGTCGCCAGATCGGCGGCAGATAGCAACCTCAAGAAGGTGTCGCTAGAACTCGGCGGAAAGAGCCCTAACGTTATTTTCGATGACGCCGATTTGGACCAGGCTTTGAAGTGGACGGAATTGGGTATCTTTGGTAATTCGGGACAGAGTACGTCCAGTCTCCCTAGCGTGATTGCATCTGTTGAACATAGTCTGTTTGTAGCATGCTCTGCAGGTTCCCGAATATTCGTGCAAGAAGGTATTTATGATAAATTCGTTGAAGCCTTCGTAGCAGCTGCAAAGGCGCGCAAGCTTGGTAATCCTCACTTGCCTGAGACCGCACAAGGGCCCCAGATTTCGAAAATTCAATTCGACGTAGGCGCATTCTTCGATCTTTCGCTCGGGAACGGTACTGATTGATATGATAGCGCGTCTTGGGATATATCGATATCGGAAAACAAGAAGGTGCTACCATTCTCACGGGTGGACGCCAGCATGGAAAGGAAGGCTTCTTCATTGAGCCTACTGTATTCACGAACACGCGGCCAGACATGAGGATTGTACGCGAGGAGATCTTTGGTCCCGTTGGTGTGGTGGTCAAATTCCGGACGGAGGAAGGTAAGTCGCGCAATCTGCTCTGCCTTACCTGGGTCACTGACTCTTCTATTCTGCTCAGAGGCGATTAAATTGGCAAACGATACATCATTTGGACTGGCGTCTGCCATATTCACTCTGAACGTGAATCGCGCAATCAGGGTATCCAATGCTATTGAGGCAGGAACGGTATTCGTGAGTCGTCCACGTCTCAGCTTGTTTCGTCAGTCTTGTTATGTCGACCTTTCAGGTAAATTGCTACAACTGGGTCGAGCCATCCCTGCCCTGGACCGGCTACAAACAGTCTGGATGGGGACATGACAGTGGCGAGGACGCACTCAGTAGTTATACTGAGGTTAAGTCGGTTCACATGAATATCGGGCTGCAAATGTAAATGTAGTTTTGGATATCACGACGGACCTTGATGTGCTCGGCTTGATATATACTCGTTGTATCATGATTACGGCGACCTAAAAACATCGTCATAAGATGATCGTTGCACCTTCCTCATGACGTTACCCCAATCTCATGCTGTATGGGAACACGACTGGTCAAGGGAGTCTACGATGGTGCGGTAGAGAATTATTGACTTGGATAAGACGAACTACGTACCAGGCAACAATGTCGCCTGAAGGGTATTAAAACAGAAACATCGATGAACAATGCGCACCTTGACTGTAACTCGAGCACGATATTTGGAGACTATAGCAACACGAACCATATTCAGAGTACTTCAAAAATATCGATCACATCCGCAAGCGCCACTTCAGATCTTTTTTTAATTTTTTTAATTCCTGGTTTTTACTCTATACCGTAAGGTACATGCAGAGTGTAAACATAAATCAGCCGGCGGGACGGTAATCATCCCGATTCGTCTTCCTGGTCCGTAATCAGACCAGGAAGCGATCCAGCGGGGGATACACTCCCACCCCGCCACTTCAGATCTTTTTTATTTTATTTTTTATTCCAGGTTTTATACTCCATACCGTAGGGTACATGCAGAGTGTAAATAAAATGTTAATGCGGGGCGGTAATCACCCCGAAACGTCCCCCTCGCTCGCGGGCGAACTGAGGGGTGATTCAGTGCGGAATGATCCTATGTCAGTTGGGCCGGCATGCTCGATAACGAGATAGTCAGCTAGCTGTGTGTCCGCAATAAACACGGGCGGGGGATACACCGGGGTCTGGTTTTTCCATGCCTCGATTAACCGAGTTGCTGTAACATCAGCATTGTACTCCTTCACAAAGAATTCATAGTCCTTGGTATCAGGGTGAACGTCAGAGGGGTCCATATCGATCTTCTCGCAAAGGGCCGAGAACGTGGATTTCTGCATTATGGTGTGGCTATAGAGGAGAGCATTCGCGATTGAGTAATGATCTCCTTCCTCTCTGTCGGTGGCTGCCTGAGCGAGAATTTCTGCCCACTCGAAAGTTGCCACCATAGGGTTGAGGTGCAGGAAGATGAGAATGTCATCCTCTGTCCATCCTCGTTGATGACACACTTGTGCTTGACGCAAGTTGTCTGGTGCATAATTTTGCACAATGCCCTGTTTCGGCCTGATCCACATGGGACAGTCGAACAGGGTGTGATCCCGATTGTCCAGGGTTCCTCAACATGGGCAGTTATGGGGTCCAGGGATATGATATTCCTCCCTGTATGCACCACAGGGGAAGTGATTGCTCAAAACCCTAGCAGCATGTGCCATACCCAGGTTGTTTTTACCCAGGTAGTGCAATGGGTATGCCCTAGCAGACATATGTGAGAGGGGGCTGTGGTTCTTGAGGATCCACATATTCCATCCTCGGTACTGGTAAGACGAATAATATTTCGCCCACTTGTCACGCAATGACCCGCAGTGACTCGACCCTAGACCCAAACCCTAACCTAAACCCTAC